CGTTCGCGATACTCAGCAGGAGTAGTAACTTGCGGAGTCAAGTATCGCTCACGGAGCGTCTGTCGTTTAACAACTTCGTCCGTCGTACTGGCCGCAGGCCCACACGTGTACGTGTCGAGCGGCTGCAGGGCAGCACGTCGGGCTGCTTCAGCCGGGCTTGACCGTACATACCCGTAGTCGCGGCGCGACGTCCCCACAATGGGGCGGGCCACAGGCCGATTAGGCCGAGCGTGGGCCTCTGCAGCGATCTGGCGGCTCTGGGCGCCGTCAAGGTCATTGGTAATGACACCCGGCTCAGGGAGCTCGTCCTCATACCTTGAGGAGAGTGGCGGCGCATTGCGCAGGGCGTTTGAAGCCGACCAGGAACGGCTGGGAAAAGGATTGGGCGTCCAAAGTTCGTGAGAACTCGACGCTGGGTTCCCAGCCACTTCGCCAGTGGCGACCTCACCAGACTCTAGCTCACCATGTTGGGTGGGCGACCCAGGCGGCTCAGGTGAGCGTGGAGCTTCGCTTTCACTTGGACGTTGGCTCACCGAGCCGGAGCCATGACGCCGCTGGTGCTCGTCGTGGTACTGTCGTACACTGAGCCGCTGCGAAGCAGCCTCCTCGTCGGAGGGATGACCTGTGGTCGGTGGGGAGCGTGGGCTGTCGCGTCCCGACATGGAGTCACTAGGTGACGAAGGGTCAGAAGACCGCGGCGAGAGCTGGAACATTTGAAATGTAGTTTCGGTAATGGGCTCGGGGAGCCGAAGTTCTTTGAACTTGTGATGAGGTAAAGTGACCTCTAACGTCTTGAAGGAGAGACCGCACTAAAAGAAAGTTTTGTGCCGTTCGAACTTTCTGTCGTTCGTAGTAGCTGCATACTCTGTCAGCAGTACTGGTATATCTTTGCTAAGTTGTTTGGTTGATTCCCACGAGTCTTCGATCGACTCGAGTCCTTTCCAGCTAATCAGCACTTCATAGTTGTTTTGTCCTTATTCCATCGAGTCTCTTTCAATTTCTCCACCGATAGTACAATACCTTGGACTGCCACGTGATCTCGCAGCTCTTCACTGACCAACTGCGATTTATCAGCGTAGAATTTTAATCGCGAGGGCTGGACGTCTGCCTCGTCTCCTGCCAGCAAATGGCGAACACAGAAAGAGTGTTGGTCCGCCCGTGCGACTCGAGTTTGTCGTGATGTTTTTGGTCGACTCGCGACCTCCACACATAGTCCCCGACGTCGAAGCTAGGTCGACGTGCGTACTTCTGCATGCGTTTGTTTCTCTCTGACTGTTTTGCTCGTTCGCTGACCATCGGTTGGTGGAGTTCATGTATGCTGCTTTGGAGGTTGTCTGTAACGGGGTTACACGGGTTTACACCTGATGTGTTCCACACATGGGTGCGGAGTACCTGGTGAGTTAACAAACCCTCAGTACATGACTCGTAGAGTTAACAGTGGCCTCAGTACATAGGCTGAGAGCCACAGGATATGCATTTGATTGGGTTTTACTATGTTAGATAGTTAA